ATGAATTTTTGTTTATTTTAAAATCCTGCTTTTCTTTCTCTTTTTGTTTTGTTTTTGTTCTTAACAGATTTTCGTCTTTCAATTGTTAAAAATCGTAAATTAAGTCAGATTCGAATAAAAAATATGGGGTTGCAGAACTTGCAGGGTTTTGCAAAAGGGTTGTGCAAACCCAAACAGTGGCAAACACCCCATATTTTTTATTTATTTTTCACTTATTTTCTGACCAAAAAAAAAAACAAATCCAAAAAACTGGGCTACAAGGTAGGCCTCGTTGCCCGCGGTGGCCGACTTGCCCACGGCCTAGCCCGCCGGCGTCACGTTGCCCACGAGGAGGTAATGAATGCACAAGCACAAAGCTAGCTGACACCAGCGGGCTAGGCCGTGGGCAATTCCGCCGCCGCGGAGAAGTACTTCAGTACAAGTCAGCTAGCTCAACGTCCAGGAGAGACTCACCCTACCTCTCTCTGCTCCTCTCTGCACGATCTTAACATCTTTTTTTTTTTTCTTTTCCCTATTTAATTCTACCAATTGTAACAATTTATCAGCCACACGATCTTTCCACGCTGAATCGACAGCGGAGGTCACCCTGTGTGGCCGGTGTGATTGAAATATCAAGGAGGATCTAGGTCCTTTTTTCTTAAGGAGGATCTAGCTCTAAGTAGCCTCTAACGTGTTAAGTGGGACTTGGAACTGGGGCTTGGGCTTATCCATCCTTTCTAAAAGCCAAAAGACAAGAGCATACAGTGACAGTAAATCAACTACCCAATCTAGGAAAGAGCCATGCTGTGACCATAAGGGGTTGGGACTGGGCATATTGTTTTAGAGGCCGTGGGAGATCACCCCTACCTCCCAAACTTGGGTCACCACTCGGACCCAGTCGCTCATGTTCTCGTATGCCAGCTTGGAAGCCAGAATGAGCACCTCAGCATTGGTGGCAGTTAAAGTGTTGCTGTGAACCGGAAAACCCGTTCCTCTGATTTCAAAATTGTCGTCCAAAAAGTTCACAAAGGACACAGATGTCACACGTGTCGCATTACCCCCTCGACCAAGGAACCAGCTGATCAATCTCATGATGAGATCCGTCACACGTCCCCCTGCACGCGGTGCCAAGTCCACACACACACAAACACACATACACAAATGTCATGGGCAGTCGTGCTGACTCGTGCTGACTCACA